AAAAAATCTATCTGAAGAAAGGTTGGGCTTTGAGTAATTTCTACGGTGCTCACTCCAATATTGTGTGAATTTATTTGGTGATGATACTCCAACTGCTATCGTACGACGGACGAAATCTTAGCCTTTTTTCACCTGAATCGAAGGAAACCGTGCCAACAAAAAGGTTCCAGTAAAGCCAATCGACAGCTGGTCAAGAGAATCCGCCGTCGTCTTCTGGTGGGATTGACCTTCGAACCTCTTTACTAAACACTCCTACTTGAGATGGAAGTAAGCAAGACTAGCATCCGAATTGGCCAGAAGAGATGTGATTTATCACATATCTTGTAGTGCCTTCTTGATATGAGCATGAGCATGTTGACAACAGCTCACCGAATGAATGTGACGATATCTCGCGCCAAGAGTCCCACTGCAAATAACCCTGTAGATAGGCCTCGGGGATGTTCGGTGTAAAAGTATGCCTACGCTTCCGTTTTGTATGGTAAGAGCGAGTAGGTCACTCACTGTAGGTAGGACTAAGTGGAAAGAGCGTCCAGTCACCCACAGGATCATGCCGGTAGGGCTGATGATAAGACTACTGACAAAATGGGGAAATTTAGCCCCACTGGCCGATTCAAACCCCTCTGGCATCAGTCGATAAACCGCGAAAGACGGTCAATTCAGGAAAAGGTTTTCGGTGGGCTTGGACTTCTTACCGGTACTTGGAGATGTCAACAAAGAAATATGAAGACTCCCCAAACATCTTCATCTCCGGCTACATTGGTGGCATTGTCCCTAAGCAAAAGGGTCTTGAGATAGTCGGCTCTGAATTGGTCAATGCTCTGGCCAGTCTGGCCATCTGCACAGTAATTGGCATCTACTTGGTGCTGCTGCGTGAGTTTTTTCTCGCCAATGTGGTCATAAAGCGCGCTCACCCACCCGGAATAAGCTATGATGAACGAATCGGTGAAATAGTCAATCGAGACGTGATCCAACTTAACCCAACTGGCCTGGTTGACGTGCTCATGTTCAACCCACTTTTTGAGGATAAAAGGACTGAAAATGACGAGCTGGAAAAACTCGCGAATGTTCATCCGAATGTGATGTTTATGCACGTCTTTTCCACACTGCTCCACTTGACTCTAAGCAACGAGAGCCTACCAAAGTCGGCCTCATTCATGTGCAAGTGCATCTCAGGCCTGGAAAACCTCATCCGGACTAAGTATCCAGAAATCGCGAAAGAGGCAAACATCACTGTGGATAGCCTAGTAGCTGGCAAATCGGGCAGCGCCGATGACCTCAAGGATGTTAAAGACGATTCTAAACCAACGATGCCGAAGACAAATATATAACTGACTACTTAAAGAACCTCTTATTAACTGATCACTTCCTCTGTTATGGCCAGGATGATTGGAATTTAAAAATACTCATATTCTACGCATATACTCAACAAATTACCCATTTAAACGAGTGACATTTGGCAAATAATGAACAAATGATGTTCTTTTTTCCTGAGTGACAGAGCAGCACAGAACGAGGGTGCTTTTCAGACCTATTCAGCCTACCGATACCTCATCATTTAGGATGACTAATAAGAGTGATAGGGAAAGAATTGTAATGGAGGAAGACAAAGGTGCACAAATACACAGACATTGCCATTTCACTTAAGGTCTCATACCCTGAACAGAGTCGACAGTCAACTCTTGTCCTCAACCAACTAATGCCGTCGCTTCCAGTACACGAGGAAACGAGAGTGTGGGTTTGCCTGATACCTTAAAACCCAGACCAAA